CACATGGACTGGCACGCACTGATGGATGAAAACATGATACCGTTTCCGTATACAATCGTCGACGAAACGTTAAGAAACCAAGCGATAAAACAGGCACCGCGCAACCGTATTTGTCCTTTTTTGTCGATTGTGCGGGCAATTGTTTGAATAAAATTCACGAAACGCGAGTTTCTTGGTCTACGATAGCGGACAGAGATGGTGTAAAACTGATTTATGGTTTGAAAGATCGTTTTGGAGATTTCTTACACTTATTTGTGCTTTGAGGATGGCTATTGAATGTATTGAGGTATTAAGAAGGAATTTCTAGGGTTTAGTTTCGGAAGTATTGTCAATTGGAGTTTGAGGATTGTTGTGGTAATTTGAATTTGTGGTTGTTTCGTAGATATGGACCGATGATGGGATTTTGAGGATATTTGAGAAGCTGAGATAGTCATGATTTTTCTTCACTGGTGAATTCCTTGTTGATTTGTATAGTAGGTGTGGCTATTGGTTTCTGATTAAGTGGTACCAGCGAATAGACAAATATAAGTCTTCAAGTTGTTGCTTAAAAAGGCGAGAAATGAAAGTTGTTGAACAGCGACAGCAATTATTGTATAACTTTGCGAACATTCCAGTTCACTTCATCATTGTACTATTGTCTTAAAGTATCATCTTGTCTTTGGAATAATATCGAAACGTTTATTAATTTCTTGTTAGAAGACGTTATTTACACAAAATATACTTTAACAGTGAAGATAGCACAATGTTGATTTGTGAAATTGTTGATGACATTGGATTAAAACATTTTTCATGAAATGCATAATGAGTATGCTATGTACAGTAAGTCATGAATTAATGCTTCTAAAAAAATATCTTGTATTTCTTTCTTATACCTGAGCTGTATTTTAAGTTTAAAAATGGACAACAAATGATAGTTTAATTAATGAAAAATTGTATTTCAATATGGTAATCCACAGTGCAAAACATTAACTTCTATAGATATCGAAATGCTGCTGATCTGGAAGTAGGTTCATCTGTTTTAGAGGTGCTGGAACGCCGGAAGTTCCCTCGGTGTCATTGACATTGTCCTTCGAGTCCAGTATTGATCGGTGAATTTGGCGGGAAGTTGAAAATTTGGGACAGTTGGGGGTGACGTACTATGAACGGCTTGGAGTAACATATTTAAGGATGCTTAGTGTTCAAACTAAAAACACGAAACACGTACAATGAAAATTGGTTACAAAATAGCACTTGTCTTGATGCAAATTCAATAATCAATTTTAGTTGCTTTTCTAATTATAATTATTTATCTACGTTCTTAACAATGAAAGTACTCTCTTATCATTAACGACAGAATTATATACTCACGCGAGGCAGCTTCTTTGTGAAAATTTCCCAGATGTAGATATGTTCCGCTGCTTCCCGTGCCAGCATGATCAAACAAAGTGGCGCACGTAAAACGATAAAGCACAAACGATAAATAACGATTCCTCTTAGTAAATGCTAATATAAAACCAACTATGGTTTTAGTCGTAAATTGCATTAATCGACATATTAAAATAAAATAGGGTTCCAAAAAGCAAAATCGCGAAATGAACGATTGGAACCTTCAAAACTTTTAAAAGTTAAATATGAAATGACAAACTTGATTGTAAAAATAAAAAATACAATATATCAACTGTGAAAGTTTAAATACTTAAAAAGAATTGTCAAGAGATTAATCACGATTAAGAAGGTTTTCGAAATGATACACGTGAAACGTGAGAGAAAGGGAGGGTTCGCAAAAGAATCAGACCAAGTCGACGTAGCATCGAAATAAAAACGCACATTGTTACACATCAACACATATATTTTTGCTTTTGCATGTTGCATACATACGATAAACAGTACAGTGTTACGCGTTCCTCGAGGTATGGTATACTAGAAAATTTCATTATCCACTACTACAATTGCTATTCGACGTTATTTTGTCTCGTACTTCCGCTTTTTC